TCTACTTGAATGGACAAAGTTTGAAATTGGGTTAAAGTTAAAATGGTTTCACCAATTACCCGTTTCAGATGGTATTTTGCACTTTTAACGGCACTTTCCCATAAGCCACCTTGATGAGGTGCAGAGGGGGGGTTGAAATGGAAGTTAATTCCTTTGGGGGTGGTGAAATGAACAATTTTGTCCTGCGAATCAGGTGTAAGGATGGTTTCACGGATTACCTTGCGTAATTCCGAGTTTGCACCAACAAAGTTGGTTCCGCAGTCAGAATACAGATCGGAACAGAGTCCGCGTCTCGACACAAAACGTGTGAGAGCGGCAATGAAGCCTGAGGTGGTAAGATCGGTGACTACCTCTATATGAATAGCTTTGGTAGCCATGCAGATAAAAATACACAAATAGACCTTAATCTGTCTAAGAGCTTTGAGACTGCAAACGCGAACACTAAATGGTCCGGCGTAATCTACGCCTGTAGATGAGAATGGACGAGTAGGATTGACCCGATGAGCAGGTAAATCACCCATTAGAGGGATTTTGTTTCGTGGTTTATTTTTAAAGCACACAAGACACTTAAATATGCGCGAGCGGATAACGCTCCTGGCCGATAGAATCCACACTTTTCGGGCGAGTAGTGATTGAGTTAGTTGCGGACCTGAGTGCAAGTGTACCTGGTGGTAAAAGTCTATAAGCAAATTCACTACAGTATGAGACTTGGGTAGAACAATAGGGTGACGTATGTCATGAGCAAGCGAACAATGTGACAATCGGCCACCGACGCGTATGAGACCATTAGGGTCGAGGAAGGGGGTGAGTTTCTGTAATTGTGCAGAACATATTGAGCCTTTGTTCAATAATTTAATATCCGTGGTCAATAATTCTGATAAAGGATTTTGATAAAGGCTCAATATGTTCTGCACAATTACAGAAACTCACCCCCTTCCTCGACCCTAATGGTCTCATACGCGTCGGTGGCCGATTGTCACATTGTTCGCTTGCTCATGACATACGTCACCCTATTGTTCTACCCAAGTCTCATACTGTAGTGAATTTGCTTATAGACTTTTACCACCAGGTACACTTGCACTCAGGTCCGCAACTAACTCAATCACTACTCGCCCGAAAAGTGTGGATTCTATCGGCCAGGAGCGTTATCCGCTCGCGCATATTTAAGTGTCTTGTGTGCTTTAAAAATAAACCACGAAACAAAATCCCTCTAATGGGTGATTTACCTGCTCATCGGGTCAATCCTACTCGTCCATTCTCATCTACAGGCGTAGATTACGCCGGACCATTTAGTGTTCGCGTTTGCAGTCTCAAAGCTCTTAGACAGATTAAGGTCTATTTGTGTATTTTTATCTGCATGGCTACCAAAGCTATTCATATAGAGGTAGTCACCGATCTTACCACCTCAGGCTTCATTGCCGCTCTCACACGTTTTGTGTCGAGACGCGGACTCTGTTCCGATCTGTATTCTGACTGCGGAACCAACTTTGTTGGTGCAAACTCGGAATTACGCAAGGTAATCCGTGAAACCATCCTTACACCTGATTCGCAGGACAAAATTGTTCATTTCACCACCCCCAAAGGAATTAACTTCCATTTCAACCCCCCCTCTGCACCTCATCAAGGTGGCTTATGGGAAAGTGCCGTTAAAAGTGCAAAATACCATCTGAAACGGGTAATTGGTGAAACCATTTTAACTTTAACCCAATTTCAAACTTTGTCCATTCAAGTAGAGGCAATGCTAAACTCGCGCCCTCTTACAGCTCTTAGTTCAGACCCTTCCGAAATTTCTGTGCTGACCCCTGGACATTTCCTCATCGGAGCTCCATTAGTTGCCCTGCCGGAACCTCACCTGTCTGAAGTGCCCTTCAATCGTCTTCGTCAGTGGCAGCTTGTCCAGGCTTTTCACCAGCGTATCTGGAGGCGTTGGCAGCTTGAATATCTCCACTCCCTCCAGCAGCGATCCAAGTGGACCACCCCTCATGAGAATTTGAAGACCGGAGACTTGGTGCTCATTCACTCCAATTCACCTCCACTCACCTGGCCTCTTGGACGCATCGTCTCCACTCACCCTGGCGCTGATGGAACAGTTCGAGTCGTCACAGTGAAGACAGCTTCTGGGACTTTCACACGGCCTGTTCACAAGGTCTTCCCTCTGCCATGCAATGAAGACTAAGTCCAAGAAACCTACTCTATGTACATATTAGATTTAAGTGTGGTTTACGTTTGCTCTTGTGTTTTTTAATTAATTGTCTGTTGAAGCTGTAATGCTTCAAGGGGGCCGGAATGTTCGGTATTCATATTTTTAGAGTATTTAGAAATTAATCATTATGTTAATTAAGTCACTGGTTAATTAATCATGCTAATGTGTATATAAATCACCACATTTATTGTAATATTATTTAGTCTCAGTAACAATTTATTGTAAATAGACTCCCGCTTTCAATATTCAAATGAGATTGCTAAGCCTGCTCGAATTTCCCGCCACAGTAAGGCCTATTTTCCTGTACTACATACCCATGAATCACCTGACGCCGTGTTTGCTTCAATCGCATTTCCTATTGGCCATCGAATTCCTAGACCCCTCTAAACCGCAATTGCATTTTTCAAAGTGTGAAGCCGGCGATCGGCGTCTGTCTGTCCACGGTCGGCGTCCATAACTCACGGTGTATTCCGTTTCTCGTATCTCGGGACATTAATTGCCCATTTTACCTCTCTTAAACGTATTTTTAGGCTATAGATTAATTATATCTGGCCTCCCTCTCCTCTATAGTACATTTAACTATATATACATTTTAATTTCCCCCTTTTGTTTGTGATTAAATTACTTAAATTGTGATCTAGTGCTTTCAGACTCTTCAAACCTCAAGACAGTGTGTGCGCGTCCGTGTATTACTTCTAGACTTTCCGTACGTTTTCACCGCGACTTCCGCGTATTAGTGAGCTCTTTGTGATTATGAACTTGGGTGCGTTGCGTTCTCCAAAATTCTACAAAACAGAAGCACTCGGTCTAAGGACTCCGCCATCCGCCATCGCTCCACCATAGACGACGCCGCTGCCATACTCTCCACCTTTGGATAATTGGACTCAAGGTACAACCTTAAAGTTTTGTGTGTGTTTTAATTAGACTCTAAAACTAATCTCATTTGCCCCTCACAAGACATTTTATTCCATCTCGGGACCTCAGTGCCCTTCAAATTGCAGATTCGCCATTTTCTCTAATTTAATTATTTTTCTCTTGAACTATTAATTAGTTCTGGTCCTTCGAGTTATTAATTATTTTCATTTTTACCCATTACGCCCCCAACAGGAATATTCATTGAGTTGATAAAAAGTAACGATTTGCGATATCATTTTATACAACACGTCCGAGCTCAGGTTCGTTGTTTTATTTGGTATGTCATCACAGTGAAAAAGTGTTAAGGTTATACATGTAAGTATATAATTATCATTGTTTCGACTGAAAATATATTATATTACGAACGGCATTAATTAACTTCAAACTACAGGTATATCAGTCGAGTAAATATTTAAGCTCAACTACTTTATATTAATATGTTATGTAGTAAATGACAAGGATTGGATACCTTATTCAGATATTACAATAATTATTTTCAATACATCAAACATAGAATATAATAAAATTCTAAGCTATAAGTAGAGATAATAGATGTTCATTTTCTGAGAGTCATTGATATAATACTGTTAGTGATACATAAGTTAGTTTCGAAGCTTCAGTTGAACGTAACATCGGAATGCTTGTCGTCTCTTGCTCTGGTGGTATATAATGGTGTACACAATAGCTCTGTTGAAAGCAATGAACATTGAACATACCTCTGCGAATGATTAACGATTTGCAACACAAGCCTCACTCAATCTTTATGAATCTAAAATGCTTAAGTTAAGTTTGCAAACTAGTTATATAATTCGTAAAATTTTCACTTGGTGTAAACTTGATCACACAAGTTACTAACAAAGCTAAATTAGCAGTGCCTTACACAACATGTTATATTTTAAGATAAAAACCCCATTTAAAGGGGTTTTATGTCAAAATAAAACGTTTTAATTATTGACGAGGAATAATATTATAAATATAGAACTCCAATAACTACATCTGAAGGTTCTCGTCTATTATGTAATTCTGTTATGTAAAATTGATTAAACTGAGTTAATGTGGTTTTTGCATAACAACTAATTTACATTCAAAATACCTTGTTATAAAGTTTGATTCAGTTGGCATAGATATTGTCAGCCTTTGGCAGGTGTCGGGTCAAGTGTACTGCTGATCAATTTTCACATTAACCTTGAAACCTGATGTTCTTTATTTTGTAGTTAATTTTACTATACAGAGTGTCTGACCTAAAGTGAACCAATAAAACTTTTTATTATGATAAATAGAGTTAACAGAGTTAATAGAGTTAATAGACTAGATATGGGGCACTGTCCTATATTTTTAAGATTTTTTTATGGTTTCGAATTTCAGAATTATGTTCACCATTTTCCAATATGGCCGACTACTTTGTACTTTGTTATTTGTTATATAACGTTCTGTATTTTATGACTGTGTTCTAATGTCAATGAGATTTAAAAACGTTTTTATTCTTGATATTCTTTGTTTCTATCGCTACACATTTAGGAGTTACAGCGTGTTACATTTAAGAAAAAAAGGGCTTGTGGTGTACGTTTTGTATCCTGTAGCTCATAAACGAGAAAAAAAATCAAAGAATTAACAAGTCTTAAAATTGCATCTACGTTCTAAAAAGACCATTAAATACTGAGTGTTCCAGTACTAAAGTTAGCTGCTATTTTGAAACAATGAAATAAATATTTAAAATGTAGTTTTGAGATTTTTTTAAAATTTTGAACATTCTGATTGAATCAAAATATATACTATCTATTTGTAAAAACTAACTAAATAAAATAAAATTATTTAGATTAGCTTTATATCACGACCCAGATTCAAGTTATGATCACGTACATAGAATGTCCAAAGTATTTACCTTGAGCGTTTACAGCCCTGCTCCTGACCAGATCTACTTTGTTGGCCACCAAGATGGCGGGTCTGGCCCTGAGCAGGTCGTAGTCCTGCAGTCGGCCGAGCTCGTCCTCTGCTCGTTGGAAACTAGCCTTATCTATCACTGAGTACATCACTATGTAGGCGTCTGCCGGCGGAGAACTACGATCCACTTCCCCCTAGAGACAAATGTAATGTAACGGTTAGGAAAATGCCACAGTAATGCTATCATAAAATACAATAAAAGACTTACAAGTAAGTTTTGATGTTTACACAAGATGACTTTCTGCGGTACCTAGATGGTTAATATACCTGGTTGAATAATAATTAAATAATTATTCATTCACTATACAGCTTTCATTCGACGATATTCATTTAATTTATGCTAAAAAGATGTTCTTACGTTTCAAGTATTTGACCTCACAATTAAGGTTAGTCACTAGCATTTTAGTAACATAACATCGTAACTGACTTGTATTTTGCACCACCGACATTTTTAACAGAGGAGAAATTTAAGATCAATAAACTGGCGGCATTATTTTGAGTTGAGGAATTTTAAATTGTAAAATTTCGAAACTAGATTTAGATATGACAATGAAGGCATCATTGATTAATGTGGTTTTATATGAAAATACACGATATAAAATATTTTGTTTCATATCATTATCAGGAGGATCCCCAAGAAGAATGATTTCTTCTGATAATTTACATTTTAATATAGCACTATTCAAGGAAGGGGGCTATTTTAAGGAAACTATTTGTTTGTAAAACCGATGTAAGCTTTTAAATTTAATCAAAACAAAAGCCGTTGTGCTTCTTCCTTAGTAGCAGAGAACCTACTAGTTCTACCTATGCTACTACCCATAGCGCCAGTAGTAATTGGACGTAGAGATAAGGATCTAGGATTTAGCAGGATTTAGTAGGCTAACAGCTTAATAAGGCCAATATAAATTCACTTAGACTGCAGGTTGGCATTTACCATATGAAACGGCACTACACTGTCTTACTTACCTCACAAGGGAGAAACGTGGCTTAACTAACTTTTTCGAATTTGCTTGATAAAGGAAATATACCTTGTTTATAGAACATTATGGTTATGTTGATAAATATTTGATGCGATTATGTACGAGTCATAAATAGAAAAGATTAAGTTTAACGATATTTAATCCATCATAATTTGATGCTTGGAGGAAAAATGTCACTGTCTCATAGTACTGGAGTGATTTGTAATTGTTTAGTTTTCATGAACAAAGTCAAGGCAAATTGGTTTCAAGTGCCTCTCAGAAACAGATACAACAGGACCTAGCATTGATATGTACCACATGTGGGTCACTAAACAAGTTTTGCTAAAACATTTTGATATATATCATAATCACTAGAACTCAAAATAAAGGAATGAGGAAACTACATATTCTGAAACCCCAAACGGGGATTCAATGGGGACAGACTGGTCACTTAATTTAATTTCAAATGGAAATATCAAATTGTTAATAAACTGGTTAAATTTCCAACTAAATAGAATCCAATCAGAAAGTACAACAATACTGTTTATAAACATGTATTATAAAAAAGAAACCGTACCATAGATGTATTATTTCAACGACAATGACCCTATTATCGTTTAGGGCGAATAAATAATTATTGCAGTATTTTCTTTTATGTATTGTTGAGACTAAAGAAGCAATAGTTCAGATCAGTAGGTTGGATAAATACATGGCTCGCTGCTTCTATATTTATATTTTTAGCCCGTGAGTTCAAAATGTATGTGAAAGTGTAGTATACAGTCTATTATGTAGAGGGATAGATTTTATTTATAAAAAAATAGCAATGCCATTTTAACTTTCGTATTTATAAACCCTAAAAGTGGGTTTTTAAATATAAAAAAGGGACACGGACTTAATTTAGGTTTGGAACTGCTTTGAATAGTAAAAATTCAATTTATTCCAAATTAAATTCTTTTTACCAAGCACCAATCAATTTTTCTTTTATTTTCAGGAAAAAATTGCGATTGTATAATCATGTATCTCCTGAACAAGTTTAGGAGAACTTATACATATTTAACTTAGCCTTACAGTTCACCACCCTAATAAGTAAAATTCAATGTCTTTTGAAAACAGGAAACACAGATTACAGGACTTCAACACTTAGCTGGTTAAATCGTCTTGGCTATCACAGTTTAGACCGTAAATGAAACTGACGCGGCTTTTAATAGAAGACCTTGACGCAGAACTTCCAGGTGTATTTTCAGGGGTTGTAAACAATTTTGAATAGCCTCTAACGATGTTTCAGAAACTGATTTAGGTGAGTGACTGTTAGTGTCTTACAAAGTAATACAAGATATGTGTTTTCAGGTGTCGGGGAAAACGATTTGTAAAAATAATTTATAATTTTAAACTGATTGGATTATCCATAACATCGATTAAAAATAAACGATTAATCTATACAAAACTTGATTACTCATTCACAAAAATGCAGCCTATATCTTGAAATAAATTAATATTGTGACTATTAATATTGCATTTTTTCATATGCTATGGTATAAGGGTTTTTTGTTACTGGAACCTCTAAAACATCTAAAGTAGATATTAAAAATTGTAGCGCGTTATATGGAGCTCAATGGGATAGTGCAACTGCGTAAATATCAAACAAAGTTGGTGTCGAGAAAAACAATATTTTAATCGATATAATTATTCTAAGGTTAATTTTGATGTAGTTATTTGTTTAAATACATTAAACACGATGCATGAACGTAATGTTCACTTTGAGGAAATAGTCTGATTTGAATGACTGCGCGACTGTAAATTGAACAGTCAGTTCTTGGTCCAGAACTATATTTGATTCAGAGCAACAGGTTAGGTTTGCAAGAAGTAGTTTAGTTACCTTTTCATTTCCAACATTAATAAACTTCAGTTCGGACTCCTCTCCGTTCAGCATTATACATACAGACTCTTCTTGCGTACCGTCTGCTGCAGAGTCATCTGGAAACACATTACAGTCTTTAAAATACGAACATGCATCATATATTGAGAAAAATGTGTTGAAAGGTGTGATACAAGGAAGCTGTGGCAGAAACTGCTAAGTATGATTAGTTTCTCCAAGAAAGATACGACAATAATAGATGGAGGAAGTTGAAAACCCGGTCAACGTCAGGCAGGTCGCTGTTCGATTAATCATGGATTTATCTTTTGGCCCAGCCGTGAGTGTCTAACTGCGAGGTTTTTAGACACTAAAGTATCCAGTGATTCAAGTGGCCGAGCTTAGCTCAGGGATCAAAACCTAAGCATACTTTCATCTACATTAGTAATTCAAAATGTTTTAAACATTCCTGACAGTCTGACTGATACTTTTATTTCAATCAGTTAAAACAAATAACATAGATTATATTGAAACTAATTGATTCATTTATACAATTACAACGATACAGACGTCATCTCACTCCTCTCCACATTCACTTTACTCAAATATTCACATATATTGGCGAAATAAATAATGGTATATTCATATAAATCTGTGTGGATAGTTCTTAGGCAATGGATATACTTCTTTGTGTTTTGCACAGTAGTTCACAGAAAAGGCCAGAGTTTCTCTAAAGTAGTAAAGAAAATGCTTTCTGCTCGAGCAGTTAATCGCACGATATTAGGCCTAAAAAGCTATAATTTTTAATCTCCCTAAAGACGGTAATCCAATTTTAATCCAAGTTTTTTTTGACATGCTGAATAACGTGACAAGGTTTGTTCATATGGTTGCAAGACACCCTGTATAACAATTACAGCATTGAAGGGAATCAAAAATAATTGTTTATGTTTGAAGATTCATGTCTAGCTGTAAATACTATTCCTAAAATGTTTTTAAATGTTAATTAAGTAAAACGTTAAATAATCAATAGAATTATACATTCCAATCTCATGTTAAAGCCGTAGCTAGTTTATAATAACATTAACGTAGGCGAATATAAACCGATATTGTGTGTTGACCATAATTAATCATTTATGCGGAATACGACAACTTTTAAAACAAATAAAGCAAGAAAAACTTATCGTTAACTTTTGTATCTTTCATGATGCATGAAACATCATAGTACTAAAAATAATTAAAGAAACAATCGAATTTTAATTTATATGTTCTTCTTCAATGAAATTGACTACAGCTGATCGATAAAGATGGAGTGTCCACTTGTATCCAAAATTAAACGGTACCTTTAGCACTTGGGTATCAATTTATCAATATCTAACCTCTCGTCCTGTCATAGGCGTTGATACACTCCGACGTCATGAACTGACTGACCAGCGCAGTCTTGCCGACTCCCGGAGCCCCCAGCATGGCCACCCGGTAGGTGATGACCTCAGGAGAGGGTACGGGGGAGAGGGAGCTCGGAGGTTGCTCGGGGTTGGGGCTGGAAGGAAGTAGACTGTTGCTGCGAGAACGACGTCTCCTGAACGAATCTCCTCTGTTTACAACACCTGTGGGGAAAAGTGATTGTAAGTATTTGAACTAACATTGCTGGATGCGACCAAGTAAAACATAGATCCAGTCATAAATTAAATAAACCTTCTTTAAGTTTTCTCATCTTTATTCACCTAAAAATTGAAGCTTGATTATTGTGTCTTTGGTGTGTTGTTCGTATCATTCATCCACTGTAAATGTTACACCTAAAATTATTAGTTTTACGCATCTTTTCTATTTTCTCCTTATTTTATACTATATAATAACAAGATCGTAAAGCATAGATTTATCCCTACAACGTTAATGAATTCAAAAGACTTTTTTTAGATGATGGAGTAAAAGAAGGCTGAGAGAAACATTAAACTAGATTTTCTACTTCACGAAACCCAAATTAATTGAGAAAGGTAGGTATCATTGACAAAACTCAACAAATATTAACGCCTAGTCCAGTAAATAGATTCTAAAACTTTGATCTTAAATCTGAGTATCGTCGAGGCATTCCTCTTTGAGATGAGCTAAACACTTGAGAACCTAAGTATATTTGAAATTCAGATTACATTTCCAGTACAGTACAGTGTACAGTATTTAAAGTGTGTGGAATTGTGATGTAATATAATACGACATATTACAAATTCAATGTATTAATGGATATATTTGAACTAATTCAAGATTAAAACCTCAGAGAACATTGAATATTCTTCAACAATATAAATACAATAGAAGATAAATAAAGACTTATTATTTCCTGTGAAATGATTTGTTTTGCGCTGTTATACTAATGCTAAAGCCAGCAGAACGTCAAACATAACTTCACTGACTGGTAGTTTGATTGATTAAATTTGGTTTATAAGCCACAACTTCGATGGAAACTATTCCACAATGAGTGATCGAAAGTAGGTAAATTAGTTGAACCCACAGGTATTTTACATAGTAACTGTATTGTAAAATATTCCTAAAGTGATTAAGTAAATAGTAGTAAAAAGTAAGTAAATAAGACAATTACAGAATTTCTATTATCCAGCCAAATTCTTTACAATTTGAATATTACTCTTCATTTTGATTGAGTAACATTCACAAAAGTGTGGAGATTGCACATTTAAAAATCTAGTAAGTTATGATTATTACTATGTATCAAGGATTAAAAGTAATCCCTTATAAACTGTTCGTGTACACTGTACAGTTAAAGACGACTCTTTTGCATGTTTAAGCCTGGTTTACATTCTGATGTTCACAGTTTAGTTAAAACTACTTAATAACATTAAAATAAATAAAACTCATTAGAATGGTTTGTTAAATGCTGTTGCACTTTAGCTTTAGTAAAACAGCTAAGTGACATTAGCGCACTAGCTAAACTGGGCTTGAAAAGTTAACAAAAATACTTTAGATTTGACGTTAGGACAAAAAGTGACTTTGCAGGATCCATCAATACAAACTGTCGAAGACAAAAGGCAGTATCATTATTACGTTTCGCCTAATTTTGAATACTGTTGTTTTTACTACTATTGTGTTGTTTTGTGTAACTAAAACATTAAAAAAGCACAGTGTTTGGCTCTTGTGTCAATATTTTGTTTCCCAGTCTTAGCATACATATTATATCTTTGTATTTATACATAGATGTTGTAAATATTGATACAATTCTTTAAGATAATGTAACTCAGACAAGAAGTATTTCGGATTCCAACTTTAAACAAAATTCAGTTTTCCCTTGTTTTGGAAGGTCATGTCAGTTTCATTGGACGATAATTATAGAAAACTTAAAGGTCTATCAGTTTTGATCTTAAACAGTAATTATTACAGTTGTTCTTCTTAACCTAGATGCATAGTTACATAATAAAAAAAACTTAATTTTAATTGTTTCACTTAAACGGGTATAGCAAATTTCCAGGTATGTTTAGGCTTGTTTCATACCTATCCAGAGTATTACTATTTCGATTACAGAAACATACGTTGATTTAGAGAGGTTAGCTTTAAAATCACTTAAGCTATTCGGAAGATTTACAACACTTAAGCTGCAAAAAGTTTAAATGAACTCAAACAATGTCTAACAAATCGAAATCGGTAAAATGCAATTTTTGATTTTGACTATACAGTATGTGTGACTAATTGCCAAACAGGATAGCCTAAGATACAAAATTATCTATTTGAAGCATACTCTGAAAGAGGTAGAATATTAACAAGAACCGAGCCAAATGTTTCCGATGAATTCCAACTGAAAGTGTCTGTCAGATGTTATAAACGTTCTTAAAATGGATGAGTAGAGAGGCGCTTTGAAAAGGTCAGCGTAAAACCCAGTTCATTGAACTAAATTATGTTGAAAAATATGGATAGTTTTACTACACTGCATATGAATTTCATGCGTATTAGTAAAATATATACAGTAAAATTTGTATGACTCGTGTTGAATTACATGAACCATTTGCAAACTGATTTGAATCTAGCAAAATGTAATAAATACATTTGAACCTTTTTCGTTTCTCTTTAACAAAGTTAATAGTTGATCTCTGCCTGATAAACACGGCCTTGTTTACCAAAATGGGTTGCAGAAATTGCTGGAACCGTTCTTCCTCCTTTCTGGTCAGTGAAATGCCAGTTTCATAAGACGATATTGTCTGGATTGGCCCCCAAGACTGGGCATATTTTCCCCATACTTCCCCGATGTGGAATTCACAATGAACCACCTCGACTACAAGTCTTCGCTCGATGCCTTCTCAGAATACAGCGTCCAAGAGGAGATTGTGCTCTTCCATCTCACCATTTCACCAGCCTGAGCTGTAACGGCGAAGAGGATTTTCGCTAATTGATAGAGCAGCCAGGTCCTTCCTACCCGGCAGAGGGGTTTCAAACCCAAGATGTACCCTCAACTCGTACCGGATGTAATAGAGCCCATAAAGCACGGAGCCACGCCGAGAAATTAAACGGTGTGATGTAAAAAATAGACCAAACTATTGTGAAAAAATCGAAAGTAGCATTTTGAAGAGGAGGCACGAAAACGTACAAAGTATGTTCTCCCCCTTTTATTCGCCTATTACGATAATCAGTAAAGATTGAAATTGATAGCGGTCAATTCTAACCTGGATCGGCATAAGTCTAATGATATTTGCAGTTTTCAAGTTACAGCAAAGTACGGTAATTACAGTACAAGTCATATGGACAAGCCATAGAAGCTGAGATGTGGCTGGTCATGAATCAGCAATGTTCTCCTTATAGCATAATGTTCAGCATGGCTCCTATATTGTGCTTTATTATTTAAATTATTAACCAACGATTGATCAAAATTAAATTAGTACGAATGATATGCAAGGTAAAATTTGCCTATACAGTATTTACAAAAATTTGATTAGTTTGATTGGAATCAGAATTGAACTTGACTATTGAATAAATTTTGGAAGCTCAAAGTTACAGGTTTGAGGTAGATTTAAAACGAACGCAGTGCAGCATCAAATAAACACAGCTTTATCACTTTGGGCGATATCAATTGTGACTGATAATTCTATTCTGTTTGAAGGTTTACTCTTTTTCTGTCTTTGTGCTTTGAAGTAATAAAATGATGCTCTTCAGGTGTCTGGTCAAATAGATTTACATCCTCAACATGTACACTCTTTGCATGTGTTGATTATAAGTTGGTAATACAGTATACAATAAGATGATTATTTTTACATGCATTTCAGTTTTAATTTTTTTAATTAACTTTTTTTACATCTTTGCAAATTAACGCCCAGTAACGATAAAAATATATTTTATTGAATCTGTTTTCAGTAACCTAAGGCCTCAAGAACCATTTTTGGTCTTCCTCATATTATACAACATGCCATGGAATCACTATAGCTAGGAAAAAAAACAAGTGGGCGATGACTTTACGCTCAAAAAGATAACTTTTGTAATATTGTAAAATCTGTAGCTTTTTTGTAAAATGTTTAATTTCGGTGGCGTAGGTGTGTTCACAAGTAACAGTGTGCACGCTTATGCCAATCCTTTAGGGAGATGATAATCCCCCTTTTGGGAGGGATTTACAGATATATCGTTCTATTGAAAGTTTGGCCCTAAAGAAAGGAGATAAGAAAATATCCTGTTAATGAAGAATTTAGTATTATCCAGACTGAATTATCTTAAAACTGTCTTTAGGATCCTCGAGACTGACAATACGAATATTTTTTATGATATACATTTAGTCTACAATGAAGTGTACCTCATGTTTTATTGACACCCTATGCAGTAGCTAGTAAACCAGCTACCCTACTCAATTCTGTCTGTCTTCCTCAAATTTGATTGAGGTACAAAGGCAGCAATTCAATTGTTTGCCTTAGGTTTTATTGGAGTTCTATGCAGCGAACTGCGACAAAAACTCAATTTTGTCTACCTCATGTCTTATTGACACTCTGGAACTGCTGCAACGAATAAATATTTCTACCTTTTCTGTGATTGACATTTGATACTGAAAATACTGCACCATCCTAATTCTATCAATCATCGAAGTTTACATTTGTTGGCTCTGGGTTGGATATTGATTTAATAACCTGGAAAGCGTATACAAACACATTACTATTATATGATTGGTAATACTAATGTTTTCTGCATGTTTTCATAACATAAATCGATAAAATTATAATAAATGTTTTAAAAATTATTTGATTTATTATGCATATTTCAATGCAATAAAATAAACATCTTTAATATTGGAAGTTGAAGAGATTAAACATTTATCTTTCTTGCTTATTTTATTTCAACAATGAAGAATTTTCTTCCTTTTCAATCCTGAGAAAAGCCAGTAGTTTTATAATTTTTCAAAAATGGGATCAGCAATCTGAGATTATTATGCCAATAGTAGATGGGTCTGGCCAGGGAAACAACTGTTTTAGTCAGTGACAAGACTCAATGCATCTTACTTTATTCTACAAAGCGTCTTGTTCTCTGGTTATAATACAAAAACCAGTGGTGTTACCTTCTCAAGACATGCATTTAAAAACATAGTGAATGTAACTTTTAAATCAGTCATAACTAACTACTGAAACAGACACTATAAATTCATAGGGGTTTTGTGTTGTATTTATATTTTTAAAAAATAAGACGATATTTAGCTCGTATATTTTACTCAGGATTCATTAATTAAGTGTATGTCTATTTGGTTTTGTTATGCATTTTCTTGACCGCTTTTAATTATAATAATTTTATGTATAAATATTGGTTTTGTTCAAAACCAAGGGTCGTTCGGAATTTTTGAACATATTTAATTAGAACACATGTACGAGCTTGTAATTCTTCCTTTATTTCTCTACCTCCCCCTCTCACCCCGCCTCACATCCCTTTCCATCAACATGTCTAACAGTCAGTTAAGGAAGTTAGACTTGGGAAAGTTTCTTCGGCGACATTCGACTTGCCTTTTTGTTCCAACTTGATTTGATCTTCGAATTAGTGAGAGACTTTAAAAGCAATTAAGCTGCAAAAGTGTATTTTTTGCAGCTAACCTTTAGAACTTGTGATTATTCATTACAATTAATGAGATAGAATTGCATTGAAACAAAATCTATCTGAAAGAGATCTCAATGAATTACAAAAATTCTTAATCAACATCACTTTATTAACATTGGTAGGATATTTTTAATAGCAAAGTCATATATTACAAACTTCCTTTATAAGCATGACAGCATATATTCACGGAAACATAGCATTAAAGTCAAATATATCTATTTATTTCCATATTTGTTATTCAGTACTTGGTTTACATTTTCTATTGTTTTAATTCATCTCTTTACAAATTGTAAATTTTAATTTCTATAAAAGTTCCATATTGTTGCAAACTATTTTACATATAACTAGAGAAAATCCTTATCAAGTTGTTGTTTAAACACCTATATTGATATCATTGCAGTAACTTATTAGATATTATTGCACATTTTCCCAATAAACTTTATACATTTTCAAATAAACTGTTCAGTTCTAAAAGTGAACAAATAAACATTATAAACATGTTAAACAACAGGGTTCAACTTCAAATAACATCAAGTCTTGAACATTTTCAATGGCTTGCTTTATTCATTTTCTTAGAGATTTGCAGAAAATATACTAACATATTAGGATTAATCCGCAAATCCCATTTAGATAAAGTTCCCATGAAAATTCGGTTTGAAGCTAACTTTATTTCCACTGGCAATCAGATTCCAGGATACCGATTGCAGCCAATAACAAATGAATTCGCTGGACGGCCCTTTATTGATACTTCAATGCTGTTAACATTCCGAAACGCCCCAATTCGATCAATCATCAAATGACCCATATGATTCGTTAATAGGTGGCAACTGGTAAATGTAGTTTGGTTATTCTATTTTACCTGTTACTTTTGAAACTTTATTGCAGTTGCAATAGATTCTATTTATCATAGAACTATTACTAATTAAAAATGTCTAATTGCTTGGATTTTCCAAATAACTTTAAATCTTTGGACGTGCTGATAAATAGTTTTAACTGCACAACTATGTACTCGTTTATGGGTAAATCGTATAGAGAAATTGGATAGATATAACCCACGAAATTTGTTTAGTGAATAAACCTCAGCAAAGTTAAAGAAACTATAGTTTTAAGAGGTGTCTGGTTTTATTTATTTTTGTTGAGAACATATGTCTGAAGGAAGTAGCCTAAAATAATTTTACAGAGTTTTTTTCCATTTACATTTTACACAGATTTCAACCTAACGTAAGACTTCTGCTAGGTACCATTAACCGGAATATGATGTTAATACTAGAAGTCTGTGAATCTCACAATATCCGAACTTTTAGGAACATGCTGGTCTAGTTGTAGTGTTGGTCTCCAAGGTCGCCGGTTCAAATACCGCAAATAACCAATTAAGTTAAGTGATAATCCCGTGAACGCCTAGGCCTATTCTGAAGTAATGAGTATAACTGTTCTACATAGCGTCCTAGGATGTGAATGCAAGACATGAAAAAAACTTTTTATTTTCATAGAACAAGAGAATGGATCACCTGAGACTTGGAGTAATGTATTGTTAGAAATGTTTTGTGTCAGAGCAATGTATAGTTACTGATTGATTTGAATCAATCATAGTCCTGGTTTAGTGTTTGTAATCCTGTGGGGTAGTTATAGATATCCCTAGGAAACATAATGTTCCTGCTCCACTTTTCTATTTCCCCACCCTCCTGGACGTCTTCTCTGTACTTCATATAAAGCTTTCCTCTCCTACAAGATGTCTAACCGCCATTTAGCCTAATTAGTCGCTAAATATGTGTAAACACTTTACCTTTGCCACAGTTCAAAACGTACAAAACAACTGATTTTGTTCTTATTTATTTTGTAGTTATATAATAAAGAAATAGATTATTATTTTAAGAGTATGGATTGTATCATTATCTATGACAACTAATGAAATTTGGGAATCTGGTTGGGTTTAATTTATTACAGAAAATCAATATTTAAGTTCAAAATAAAAGAAAATATATTTATTTGGCCTTATTTGAGTTAAAATTGAATACCCACATCTTCAACCTGCTACTCAGAGCAATAAAAAATAATCTATTTTGATCTAGGTTAAGTTTTTACTAGAACTATGAATATTACCTCTGCATATCCATAGATTATTTTTAACGTTAGGCCTACTTATTATTATATTTTAATATATATATAAAATAATAATATATAACTAAGTAGTAAATTAAACATGCATGTTTTCTGATTCAACTAAAACTATAATGCCAAACAACATCCCATATTTATTTGTCCAGCTATATTATTTTATTTTTTCCCAGATGCTACAGTGTGATTTCCGCAATAGAGGGTCTAATTTTGTTTGGTTTTGGTTTTGGTTTTGGTTTTGTTTTCTAGATAGCTTGACAGTTTATGATAGTCTCTATTGAATCGGCCCATTGCATAATTATAGTGCTAAAACGCCTTTAGTGATTTGGATGATCATAACCAGGCCCTATTACTTCAGATCCCAAATTTAATCTTACCTTTGCTAGTAAAGCTGAAGGACCTGAGCCTGTAGCTGTCCTCGTCCTCCTGTTCCTGCTGATGTTTGTCTGAAGGAACGTCCAAGAAGGCTGTAGACTTCCTCTGGTACACGGAGTTGACTCTCCTCTGGGTCGACCCCTTCCTGCGGAATCCTCCTGGACTAGGAGACTCGTTGGCTCCTCCTGACACTGGAAATAGAACACTAAGTTTTAGTTGTCGTAGGGAGTAGAGATTAAGATTCATTGAAAGACAAGGGAAAGTATATCACATTAATATTTGGAGTGTTAGGAGAGTGATAAGCGATTTGATCCTAGAGCGAAAAGGAGAGTTAACTTGATTATTGGAGAAGTGCAGAAAATATTGTACAGCCTTGAGAGAATAATGTAATAGATGTTGAAAAACTACGAGTATATATCTTGTACTGTTAGTTGTAGTAGAGCAATGTTTATTAACTTAATAAAGATGCCAAGTGATCCTGTACAAGTGATGAAGCTGGAGAGCAAAATAGAAATATGATAAGGCAATATAGAAGAATCCCTTAGAGCTGTGGTAAAGTAGAGAATTGGTTTTGGTAGAAAATATATGTTGAATGGTGAAACATAAATATATTACAGCAAATTGCAAAGTATTGGAAGAGCACTGCGGGTTGTGTTGAGCAGTAAAGGATGTTGAGAGAGCTAATGGACAGATGTAGACAAACAATGCAAAGTTTATGTGTGGAGCTGCAGAGTTGTAGTGTAGCAATTAAGAGCTTTGTTAAGTAAATTAACACAGTACGACAGTACATTTTAAGTAATTTAACTACCGATGACCTTTATAATTGCTAGACACTATTATCATTCAGTTACTTATCTACATAATATTTAAAATTATGATGTGATTTGTTTAACTATTAGAATACCTTCAGATATTAAGTTTCACACATATAACTTCATCCCAAATTAACCGTTATAACTAAATACACTAAGTGACATCTTTCCGAACAAATAATATGTGTACACCAAAAATAAAACTTTTGCATACATTTTTTGCTTAGGCATCAGTACTTTTCCTACTAAGCCAGATAAATACCGTACGCATATAACATGGCTCAAGATCTTCATGGGTGTTCCACACTATTAAGCCTACAATAAGTCAGTGTCAAATGGCTGCCAGCTGCTAGACATCTGCCAACATGAGACACCTGAGAAATGAAGACAGAGAGTGGAGAAAATGGATGTCAACAGATAAAGACGGGTTTGTCTTTGTCAGATTTGAAAACCCTATTGTCAAGTTAATAAGTGTGAGGGTTTAATGCAACTATCATTGACTAAGGTCATAGTTTGTTTAAACTGATACTTTTCTGAATTTTATAAACTACATCACGTTCACCTTAAACGTGTGCGGATTCAAGTATGGTTACTAAATAGTGGAAGGCAAGTTAAGGTTTTATGTCTTCAATACCATAATTTTCTATGTGTCCGATGCATTCGCCTTTTAGTAAAGATAATACAATGACGGTCGTTACTCGGAAAAGTTATGTGTCCATCTGGTTTTATGAGTTTCATGCGTTCATCCTTTAGTTAGGTTATAAATAGAATTTTTAATTAAAACTGAAGTTTTATGTGCTGTATCATGCATTTTTGTGGGTTTTGTGCTCGTGTGGCGATTAGTGTTATGTATTCATCTTACAGTTAGATTCATGCTAGTAGTTAGTTAGTCATCATGCTTAAGAAGATTTGATGTTCTGTGCAGGGTATTTATATTTTGCAGTAAGGGGTAATAATCACGTAATATAAAGGAGGTGTGGTGATTATATATTACAACGAGTGTGTAAGCAGTAGGTCTGTCTATTTCCTCATTTTTACGGTAAACTTTGTTTTTTTTTTCGGTCCTTGTGAGTTTGGTCATCTTTCAAAATTTGTTGTGTTCGTATTTCGTATGGTTAGTTTCTCGAGAGACAATCTATTAACCCCTTTAAACTTATATGTGGTATTCACATTCGCTTATTTTCCTAACAATGAAATTAAATAAAGCTGCTTGTTTTGAATTTAACTCTATTTAATACAATTGTATTTCTGCACACAGTAGCAAAATCTGCATACACAAAAAACTATTTTTCCTTAAAATTAGTATCAGTAGGCTAAGGAATTTGTAACCAAGTTGCAGCGCAATGTTACAAAAGATGATATTGTTTTGAAACAAATAAAAACAAAGAAAAAAATAAGCTACCGAATTATAAAATGTATTAACAGATTTAGTGATGTATAACTGGTGTTAGAACATTATTTACAAAAAAATGTGACAAATGTGTGGAGGATTTAAAAAAACTTTTTTTGTTTCGCACGAGTTAGGAGTAGGATTTCATAACGCGTGCTTGAGATTTGACTACTTTTTAATTTGGTCACGAAGATTTTATGAACTTATTTCTTAGTTAGTGTTTTAAAATATTCAAAATTTAGTTGAAAAGGCAATGAAAATACTTGACTTGGGAGTAACAAACAGCAGTTCATCGCAAAGTGATAAATTGAGGGTGGGAGACGAGTTTTCAGTTGTCAATTTAACACATTTCTAGACAACCGCTCTCGTCAAAATGTCGTTCAGCACTCAATCAAAAGTCACGGAACATTAAACCCTTACGGGAACAATTTTTTGTCATTACTGTACTTAAACAGTTCAAGTGGTTACGTTTTTTAACTTTTTTGACTGTTAATGGAGAAAACCACCTGTAAATTATTACATTCATGAAACGGTTACCATCAAATACGTATTGGTTTATTAACTGAATTACAAAATCCTCATATTTTAGAAACCTTGTTCGGAAATCGATGATTAAAAAAATTATTCTAACTGAATTTTCACAGTTAATCAACATCATGGAGTATTCAGGGAGTAGTAGTCGAATGATAGTCATAGATATGCAAAGGAAGAAAATTCCAACCAAATTAATTTGTCCAAAAGAGTTTCAACCTTAAGACTTTTAAACTTTATATGAACCCAGAGGCTATCAAATACATTGCACTTATATAAAAATTGACAAAGAGATACCTTAAATCTGTTTACCAAATCGGAATAAATATGTCTGGATATGTGTTTCGTTTCCTTTAATGGAATCGCTCCCCTACGTAGCTATTGTAATTCAATTTTCCTATAGCATGTATTTGCATTTTATTAGCATAAACTATGGATATAGAGCCATCGAAAACCTTTTATTAAACATTGAGCGTTAAAGAACAGATTTTAAACTGAAAAAAAATATTTGGATTTATATTTGTGTAAAGGACACCAAACCAAATCTAAGAAGGGGCGTTATTATTTTCATGGAATGATGTAATGTTTTTTAATTTAATCCATGAGTTTTTTAAATAGATGTTTTAGCTCTCAAAATGACTGAAGACAAACAAAAATTTGATTATCTAACTGTGAAACATTTAACAATATGCTCAAAATTTGGAAAACATTTTACATCGAAGACAATATAAACACAACAAATATTATATTATACTTTGAAATGTAAATGGATACGAGTATGATAACATCACAAACAATAGTGCATTTGGCATTATGTAATATGTAAGCATTAAACTTCACAATGGTGTTCCTGGTCAATGTTATGTAGCTGACATATCCATACCAACTATGGCAAATTAGTTATTTAAATTATCAATGTTCACTCTGAACAACAACACAATAGTTGTTTTGGTACAATTTATTGGACAGAATCTTCTTCAAATATAGTTTTGGTTGAAGGAATTGTGATTATGAAAACTAAAAAACGTCGTATGATGAAAGCTTTTTAACATAAAAACATGATATTTCTTTTAATATCAGACTATTTCTGCAAGTTAGTAATATTTGTCTTTTTTAACACATTTTGAGTAAGAATAATGTCACGTTTTTAACTGACTTATCTGAAATATGGTAGTTGTACAAACGAAAAGTTGAGAATAATGATAAACGAAATACCAAAGTAGGCAAACATCGTTCAAAGTTTATGCTGGTCCATGTATCTGGGGATAAAAAGGGCCAACGATAAACTTCCTTATTAAGACCGATAGGACTGTATTGGAGAATGTGTGTGTTCGTGTGTGAACGTATGCCTACAAGGGTGTTGGTGAGAAAATTAGAGATATCGTGTCTGTGTGTCCACGTATCAGTTTTATTACTTCACATTTGACGCAAACATTTTTGCGAGATCTAGATCCCTAATTTTATAGTGACATTCGTTGCGCTGAGTTTTATGGCTCCAAATACAGTTTTCCTGTTCCTACATGGAGAAGTATTTTTGAAAATAGATTTATTCTAAAAAAAGCTTTCAGTAACCACATTTTTTATAGTATACAGGGTGATTGAAAAGTCTGGGTACGGCTTAATATTTTAAAATATAATGCAGATTGAGCTACAATACTTGGTACAAAGTTACAGGGCATAAAACTCTATTTTAACACATATTCAGTGATCCAATAACTCTTTAGGGGGTCGGCCCACAAGGAGTCGGAAGAAAATCTTAAATGGAAGCATAGGTCAATATGCACATCAAATTAAAGGTCTTTTTTTAGTAGAATACAATGCCACAAACCGTACTTCAAAAGGTTGATCAGATGTTCAAAGGTTTCTTGAATCCGCCATTTTGAATCTTTGAACGATGTCATTTTTTACTCAGGCATTCTTTTGAGCTTGAATTTACGGCATCGTAATCTACTAGTGAAGACCTTTAATTTGATGTGCATATTGACCTATGCTTCCATTTAAGATTTTCTTCCGACTCCTTGTAGGCCGACCCCCTAAAGAGTTATTGGATCACTGAATATGTGTTAAAATAGAGTTTTATGCCCTGTAACTTTGTACCAAGTATTGTAACTCAATCTGCATTATATTTTAAAATATTAAGCCGTACCCAGACTTTTCAATCACTCTGTATGCAATAATTCTATATTTTATTTTTCGTTTAATTGATATAAACATATTTGTATCCAAGCTTCTGATTTAACTCAATTCAATCGCGTTTAGTTTGATAAACTTTTAGACTATTTGAGAAAGGAAAAATGCCTATACAACTTTAAATCATGCTTGTTAAGTGAGTTATCCTGATTTACATCGGATACTTAATGACGTCTAGTTACAGTCACCAAATTCCTAAATACACCCTACGGAAAAACTCAACATTTTAATTTTAGCTCTATTGAATATCAAATTTAAAAAAAATCTTCCAAATAAAAAGTTTAAAAACCATTTATTATTTTTTAGGCCTAATTTTAAAAGGATTAAATACACTTTTTACCACTCTTAAAGGCGGCCCATTTCCTTTTACAATGGAGAAAACGTACGAATCATTCTAAAGTAAATCCACTCGTTATGGCAATCCTACGTAGTTTGAATTTACTCCATAATACTGTATTAGAAACCTATGGAATTCTATAAATATTTTTAATATATCAGATGGACCTATTACATATACGATATATTTCAATAATTTCCTTACCATTAACAATGCTTTATCAAAGCATTGTTAGCTTGTGAATAATAGACAAATTTGAATACATATACAAACAGCTTAATGTATAAAATAAAAAACCAATGCGCAGAACTAAAGCATATGATCGTCGAGTTTCATCACAATCTCAAATAGCCTTTGATTGGCAGCTATAGATGCCGCCGTGGCACAAGCTTGGCACAAGGTTGGCTTAAGTTTGGCACGAGTCTGGGTCTAGCTTCAACTTTGGTAAACAATCACAGTCAGGTTTCGGCTATTAGGTGATATTAGAGAGATTCAATCGTATGGGTAGCCGAGTGGTTATAGGTACTACTCACCATTAAATCTGGATCCAATTTGACACATCAATTAATAATGGTCTTTGACAAAGAGATACCAATAGGTAGTGCCAATGGTGCTACATTACTAGAGTTCGGACCTTTACTTATGCAAGGAAATTTTAAAGCATGTCAATGGCATATAAATAAACAAGAACGATCACCAGGCACAACATGATATTATAGCATCCCATAATACCAAGTATTCGAGAACTCCTTGAAATAATCTACAGCTGCTTTGTATGGGGTCACGTATTCTGGAAAATGCAAAACCTTTCCTGGCAAGGGGGGGGAACAGCTTTTACTTAAAAACCTACGTAGGCCTAAGTTGTAAGGGACCAAATTGTTATCTTAATCTTGGTTAAGTTATAACTGTGCCAAAGCTCTCACTTATACACAGCTATATGACGCAAGAAATATAACAAATTAACATTGTATTAATATGTGTGAGTAAGTGTTTGTTACAATTGTTGATGTATTTTAACATACTATTCTGAACCCCTCGTTTTCAACTATACCTTAAAAATATTGTTTAGGTTGGTCAGAGAGAGATAAAAATGGCAATCAGTAAAATATTCTCTTTCACGTTTCAAATATTTTAGTGGTTTGAATATGCGTTGAGCGTGTTGCTTTGTCACACAAAAAGGATTTAATACCACACTTAATTACATATTTTGCACAATTCATTGGTGTAGAACCTGCAGCCTTAAACGTTAAAGGTCACGTTTTTATTGCTACCGGCAAAGAACCTGTTACATATTTAGCTTCTAAAATAAGCACCAACGGATATTTTAGGCCTTACAGTTGTCGCCAGTCGTTAAAATCACGTTTACGGAGTTAGACGACTCAGAATTCTCTTGGGCGATAAAACACTTCAGAGGGAACAATAAAAGTTTACAGTCGTCTTGCAGCTGCAAACTATATGGTGACAAAAGAGAGAAGGAAGGATTTGCACGGTATTTTGGTCAAAGGTTAACCTACGCATACCAGTTTGTCTTGCCTAGATGATTTCATACGTTTGTTGTACGACATAAATTCTACACGCAATGTATATGTAGTGCCATGACTAATGGTACGTGGTTGACAATGTAGAATCGTGGTTTTCTGGTAACGACCGTGTCAAAAACGACGAAAAACTAACACTCAACCTATTTAATGAAAGCTTTGCATTGTATATTACAAATTACGTAACGTCATGGTTTTACTTAGTAATACGAAGATAAAAAAGAATAAAAAATTCAATACTTAATTTTAGTTGTATTAGCGAAGTTCCCAATTAGGAAATATGCTACAACAGGAACGTTTGATGGTAAGACTTAACCCGTGATTTATAGTTGAAAATCAATTATAATAAGAAATCAATATGGCAATTTTAATGTAATGTATTTGTGAAAATCCAACAAGGTAAATAGAAATTAGTTCGGCTGCAGCAAAGTGGGGTGTTTAAAATAGTTATTTGTGCAACTAGTGAGCAATTGCACTTTGCACTCGAGTTGCACATTATATTTTTCCTACAGTTACCATAAAACATATAAATTGGTAAAGAAACGTAACATATTTTTACACAGAAGTTAACCTTTAATATTTCATTTAATTATACAACAGTACAGCTGAACAGCTGATTTACAGCCAGTGCTGCCAACGTATTTCGCGTGCATACGACCTTGTCTGCATGTTACGCGCTCACTATTATTTTGTGCCTTTCGTTGCAAATCTGGAGTGAGACAATGTTAACATTGTCTCACTGATGAGCGAATTGGCCACTTTGCTTTCTCAAATCAGTGAGAGAACATGTATATTGTTAGGTAACTGTAGGAAAATATATATTTAAGCTTAAAAATAACTAAAACTACCGAATAAATAGTATTATATTTCATTCCAAACAATTATGTGCATGTGTACATCTCTGTGCAATCCTAATATATTACTGTATATCAAATTAAATTGTAACTAAACTAATAATATTTTATTTATTTTGTATATCCTTAACCTATTAGAGATGTTGGCTTAAATCGTTAAATACTTTTACATGGGTTAGAATAGGTAATATCATAAGGGAACACCTTACTATACGTGTACAATAACTTGAGTGAGAGATTAAAGGATTATAATAACCAGCCTAATATTAACCACTAAAAAACTAAACGGAACCTTATCCTAAGAATGAAATAATAGTAAATAACTGAATAGTTTGAATACATGAGGATGTTTTACATAGTATAATGAACAAAGGAAGCACAGGCAAAATTTTGATAAATGAAATATTTAAGCAATAAATAAAATTACTCATTTTAATAAACGAAAATAAGTAGGGTTTTATTTTACACACTATTCTTAAAATTAATTTTACAATAACTAAAAACAAACTTTTCTATGCATTTACCTTATTTAAAACAATAAAATGGACAGAGATTCTTTAAATTTCGAGATTTTATAGAATAACTTTTCTCATGCAACCGGGTTGTTGATTCAGCAGCGCCGCCTGCTAAAGCAGTAAAATACTGATTGAAGACAACGTTTTGATCCTGCGTCACATGTTTATAATGTAGTATGGATTTACAGCTTAGTAAACAATGGATTAGGTCGTACATATGCTCGTTCAGCTACTATAGTATGTTAGGTTAACACTAAGTACACATCAGACAATCTGATCGATGGGAATTTTTACGCTTTGATATTGGCAACACTGATTATTTTTTGTGCCTATCTCTTGAAATACCTACCTCCCTACCCCTCCCTGACCCTCTGGTAGAATATCGACAAGTTTTACCCAGAGGAGCGCCTGGGGTGTACGTTTTTTGTTTCGTTGGTTGCTCAGATTTACCGGGTGTGTTCTGTACCGTCACCCTACTGTCGGTCAAAGTGACCGTATGTGTTCTATAACTTAGACTGTATTGATGAATGTTTATTCATATTTTGTGGCGATATTGTTGAATTTACCGAGTCACTACCAAGTGTAGAGGGACTCCACTACCAGAAGAGTGTGACAGCTATACAGTAGTAGTGAACCTGTGAAGACGCGATTGACGATGGATTTTTGGAAAATACCTTGTGTAATGCTGATAAAATATGACACAGTTATACATATAAAAATGTTTTCCGATTTTTTAGCATAACGATAATTTAGGAAGTTGTGATATTTAATGAATACAGAATATGATATTTGATGTATACACGTCCACAAAATTGTACCTCAGTTTTATATTTACGCACCTCGATTTCTATTGAATTTCCTTAAAGTTCATATTTTTCAACAAATTCTCAAAATTAGTTTTGGAATTGTAATAAGTAAAACGACTACAAAAAACAATTTACCTGTTGAGTGAGCGGTTGAACAACTAGACCACTTCTAACTAAGGGTAATTTCAACCAATGCTTCAGGTTAGTAGTGTGCAATTTAGTTCAGTCATTATAAACAATTCGTTGTCATTTTGCCAACTTTATAAGCAGTGAATTATTTTCAAAGGGTTGCATAAATGAACACTAAAGGTATATTAAATAAGTAAGTTGTGTTGCAAGTTTAATGTTTAACGTCTCAAAGTTCGGCGAGGGAGTGACAGGCTCAATTTTCGGCATATCCACTAAATCATGAAGTGTTTAGAACACCTTTGTTAAAAGGTGTTAAATTTTCTCAACTTCAAAATGCCCCTGTATTGAGCTAAAAAAGTGTTACACATGGATAAATTATAACTGCGATAGTTTTAAATAAAATACCGTACCAAATCTCAGGTTTAAAGAATTCTTCTACCATTTTTATGAACCAGGCCAAACCTACCGTTAACTTTTAAGCCACCCCTAGAAGTTAGTTTCCATCAAATACCTGCTGGAATGCAAGACATCCTCCGTAGTCTTGAAGGAGTCATTAGTGCCTCAGTCTGGATCTCAACTTGTAAAGAACATACAGATGACATGTCGACCACTGACTCACTGAACCACCACTGATCACTGATCACTAGTGCTAGTGGCAACAATGTCGCAACATCACTCAGTGGTGTCACCAATAAGGTCACAACAATCAGAGTACACTAGTGACGTCGCAACAATGAAGGCACCAACACGTTTGCCAGTTAGGTCACATTAATGACGTGGTAGTGACGTCACAACAATGGCGCACAACAATGACTATGTCCCACCCCCTACCAGCTTTCGTGAGATCTCACTGCCCACTGAACCGTTCAGGATGGTACCACCTCAGAGAGATCTACGTCATCAATGACGAGTTGAAACATGTTTACCCCCTTCTGTCACTTTTGATCTAGCGCCAGCCCGCCTGTCGGGAAGGTATTTATACACTTCTACAGCACTTAGGCGGTTCCGTTTTGATGCAAGATCACGTTTAAACCTCTAACCTAAATGTCAGTAGGTGGATATGAGATCGAGGTAATGATTGTGTTATGTTTAAAATTGTGCTTAAATCATTTATAGGAAAATGATGTCAAACTTTTCAGAATAATAATGTTTACATTTTGTATTTGTGATTACTGTACTGTATTTGAATGAGAAAATCGATAACACTAGAGAAGAAGTTTTTTTTGCAAGAGGTAAAATCAACACTTACCAAAACCCAACTACATACCGACCACGTTCAGTTTGTATATACTGTACGTTTAAATAGTAAGTGTATGTTGTGTGTGGAAACAATGATCTGGAAGTGTACGATGTTGATTGATGTTTTGGAGTGTTTTAGAAAAATATAACTTAAAATAGTAAAAAACGATGTGTGGTTTGATTGAAAATTGGCCAGTTTACCCCAACATCTAATATATAAAATTCTCGTGTCACAGTGTTTGTCTGCAAACTCCTCCGGAACGACTTCACCGATCGTTATGCAATTTGGTGTGTAAATTCTGTAGGTATGCGAATAGGAAGTAAACTATTTCCCGTTTCGAAATTCTTAAAAGGGCTCCGCCCCAGTGGCTCTGGAGTTTCCCATGTTAACCTTATGAGAAATGGAATTAATGAATCTTAACAGCTGTTTCAATTAAACAAGTTGGTTCTGTTCTATGATGTTCAATGGCATTAAAGTTACAAGGATTACCAACAGGGTGCAGCACTATTATTTCTTTTACATTTATGACAACAGCTAATTTGCAACCAAAAGGTGAGTGAGCGTAGCGAACGAACTTCAACCTGGAGGCGAGTGAGCGTAGCGAACGAGCTAACCTAAAGGCAAGTGAGCGCAGCGAACGAGCTCCAACCTAAAGGTGAGTGAGCGTAGCGAACGAGCTCCAACCCAAAGGTGAGTGAGCGTAGCGAACGAACTTCAACCAGGACGTGATTGAGCGATGCGAACGAGATCATCTTGAAAATTAAACGTAACGGTACTTTCTTTCCATCGGTCTGTCTTAGGGGAAACCTATAACTTAGGCGATACGAAGTTCGCGGGGTCAGCTAGTATTACTATAACAAGTACATTAATACGGAGGGAAAATATAATTAACTGTATTAAACCGAAGTAACCTACATTTTATCTTTATAAAAACAAGTTATAGACGTGTGCACCTTTATATTCTAAAACTTAAGGCCACTTAAATAAATGAAATGAAAAAAGATTTATTTAGTCAGGCAAAGTTAGGTAAATAGATAAATAGATAAATAGATAAATAGATAAATAGATAAATAGATAAATAGATCAAAAGATAAATAGATAAATAGTTAAATAGATTTAGGTGATGGAATACAAAAATAGAAATCATCCCTTACAGGGTGTCCCGTAAAATAAATCCTCCTTGAAATATAAATTTAATAAATATAAAAAATAATATTTTTTCTTGCTAAAATATATAAAATAATAACTCTTGGCTTGGATGCAAAGCCAAGATCTGGTTTATGGGTCAAATAATGTTTAATTTTACCCGCGATTCATGGTCTCTGACTCAGGATCGCGAGGATCTGACTCAGTCTGAAAAATACATAGGTGTAAGCACACACCTTTCAACGATAGCCTAGAGATAGAATTAGCTGACATTTTAACAATCACCAACATCATACTCATAAGATATATTGGAAAAAATCTTACATTTAAGAATAAGAATAAGAATAAGAATAAGAATAAGAATAAGAATATCTTTATTGTCATTAAATACAAACAAAAGTACAATAGACAACGTCAAAATAAATACAAACTTTCTATGGATTAGGTCAATTGTGTTGAAAGAAAATAAGTTACAGCATGAATTGAAAAGGGAAAAAACAATGAACTATATATTAGGTATTTGGTATTCTAAAAATTCTTTTACTGAAAAAAAAACTTCTGTCAAGAAGCCAAACAGCCAATTTATTTTTAAATTTATTAAAGCTAAGCTCTTGAAACGATACAGGTAGCTTATTAAAGAGCTGTATTTGGAGGAATTTGTGACTATTAGTTGATTTTGATAATCTTACTATCGGAATATCTAGGTGGTTACTTGTTCTAGTATTATAACTGTGAAATTCATTACGTTTTGGGAATGATGAAAGATTTTCTTTAACAAATAGCAAATTTTGAAAAATAAATATACACGGTAGAGTCATTATTCTGTGTTTGCTAAAAAAAGGTTTGCTGGTCGTTCTGCGTGGTATTTCAAAAATTATTCTCAGTGCTTTTTTCTGCCATGAGAAAACCTTTCTGGCTCCAGCGCTATTACCCCACAGAATGTTTCCATACAGAAGATGAGAGTGGAAGAAACTATAATAAGCAGTAATGAGCATATTATCCGAGACGCAACTCTTAAGTCTTCTCAACAAAAAGCAGACTCGGGAGATCTTAGAGACAACATGCGTAGTGTGTTGTTGCCAGGTAAGCTTTGCATCCAAATGTATGCCTAAAAGTTTCACTGTTGACGGGATATTTGAACCTTCTAAGTGTTTTAGCGAAAAGCAAATCCGCTCAGTTTTATCATGATTTAAGGTAAGAGAGTTTGCATTAAACCAATTAGAAGACAAAGTAATTGCGTTGTTGACTGTGGCTTCAGACTCAGTAAAACTACAACTTGAGGAAAATAAAGTGGTATCATCGGCATATAAGAGTGATTGGCAAGATAGGTTACTAGGTAAGTCGTTAATCATTAAGAGAAACAGAATAGGCCCCAACACTGACCCTTGAGGGACTCCCGCTAGAATTTCCTCAAACTCAGATGAGTCCTGCCCAACAACCACTTGTTGGAATCTGCCACATAGATAAGTATTGAAGAAATTTAGCTCATTTTTTTGGACTCCATAAAATTTTAATTTATGCAAAATAATTTGGTGTGATGTACTATCAAAAGCTTTACTGAGATCCATTAAAGCTACGTTAAGATATTTTTTGTCTTCAAAAGATTTTAATACCTCAGAAATTAATTTGTCAACTGCCTGTATTGTTGAAAGACCAGGTCTGAAACCAAATTGAGCTGGGCTCAGAATTTCGTGCTTATCAAGATGACTGTAGAGTTGAGATTTCACATGATGTTCAATTATCTTTGAAAAGATTGGAATTATAGAAATTGGCCTAAAATTATCAATAACTGTTCTGTCTCCCTTTTTATGAATTGGGTGTGTTTTGGAAAATTTTAGGCTATGGGGAAATGTACCTGAAAAAATAGACAAGTTTGTGAGATAGACTAATGGTTCTAAAATGAAAGGGATGATTTCCTTTACGACATTATTTGACAAACCAAATATATCTTCGGATCGGGAGGTTTTTAATAATCTTACAATTGATAGCAATGACCGGTTATCTATTGGCTGAAGGTGGAACTCTTTGGTCACCGGCTTTACTTTTTGAAGAAAGTTGACAAAGTCACTATTGCAATTGGATGAATTAACTTTTTCGGCCACTCTTCTACCGATCTTAATGAAGTGATCATTAAACTCTTGGGCTGAAATTGGGGACTCGAGCTTCTGTGTTTTGTTAATGTTGGATTCAAATTTTATGAGCCGCCAAGCGGCAGCGCATTTATTTGGCGCATTACTGACAAAACTATCGTTGTATTTGATTTTAGCCTCAATGATAGCTGACCTGTATCGTTTCTTAAAATTAAGATAAAATGCTTTCAACTTATCGTTTCTATACTTGGGTATTTTTAACAAGTCATTTAATAAAATTACAGTGTTTCTCTGTTCTTTCAGACTGCTATCAAACCACGGCTTTGAGACTCTTTGACTTCCCGGTACACATTTTTTTGTTATTCTAGGGCAATAAAAATTATACAATAAAAGGAGTTTATCCAGAAATAATTTAAACGCTAGGTTTACATCATGAGTACAAAACAATTCATCCCATTCAGTGTTGGCCAAAGAGCTTGCAAACAAATTGATCTGTTTTAGATTTCTATAGGAAATTTCATCTAACTTGCATTTTAGGGGATTTTGTGTTATTAATTCAAACCAAATAATTGAGTGATCGGAAATAGTATGGGGCCAAATTCCTTGTTTAAATTGAGATTTATGACAATTAGTGGCTATGTTATCTAGACAACTCAGGTTTCTGGAAGGCTCCCTATTTATACAGTACAAATTGAATGACTTAAGTATATTGAGAAACATATTACTGGTAACATTCTCTTTAAGTATATCAATGTTGAAGTCACCCCCCAAAATCAATCGATAATTAGTTTTTTTCTTACACACATAATCAAGTAAAGCATCTAGTAAACTTAAGAAGCTATTAACATCGGAACTCGGATTTCTGTACAATGATATAACTACCACCTTATAATCTATAAGCTCAATACAAACTGCTTCCATTAATCCTACTTGTGTTAGGTGAGATACATCGATTTTGTTACATTTGAGATGTTTGAGAATAAAAATTGCTGAGCCTCCGTGTGGATCATTATTTCTACAATAAGCATCGGCCAGCTTAAACCCTTGGGGTGTATAAAACATTATCTCTTCATTACAACACCAGTGCTCGTTAACTAATACCACACTACACGCAAACTCATCCAACAATAAACCAAGCTCATCTACTTTGTTTCTGATGGACTGTAAATTGGTATGCATAAATCTCAAACATTTGTCACCTTTATTTATTTTATCGTCAGTTTTTTTATAATTTACTTTGGTTTTTGTGCTGCTCTTTAAACCATCACAGTTTTCCGGAAATATCTTTGTATTTTTAGTTTTTACGTTGTTTTTGTAGTTTAAGTTAAAAGATCTTAAGTTGTTCTGAGGAGCAAAACTACTTTTTTTGTCATTGTGCTTTAGTTTAAAGTTGGCATGAGCGGGCTGAGCAGTGAAT